TGAACTAAGCCGCAGCGCGATCCAGGGGAGGAGGAACACCTGTCCTCTCTGGAGGTCGGATCCAGCAGGGATGCTTAGAGGCCGCCCACGGGATCGCGCCCTACCGAGGAGTTTGGTGGAGAGACACTGCCTTCTCCACGCTTCGTGGGCCCACCTGCTCTTCTGGAGGCGGGCCCCAGAGACGGCAGTGACCAGGGCAGGATACACACCCGCCAATGGCACAAAGGCCAGACGGCAGTGACCAGGGCAGGATACACACCAGCCAATGGCACAAAGGCGAAGGCTGCCTGGCAGCATTATGCCAAGGCCAACCACTAGATGGTGCATTCAATCAAGTATTCAGCCTCCAAAGCCGGGTGTAGCGTGTGTGCGTGCGCGTGTGTGTTTGTGTGTGCGTGAACTGTGTGTGTGCACGCGTGTGTGTGTGCGTGCGCGTGTGTGTTTGTGTGTGCGTGAACTGTGTGTGTGCACGCGTGTGTGTGTGCGTGCGCGTGTGTGTTTGTGTGTGCGTGAACTGTGTGTGTGCACGCGTGTGTGTGTGCGTGCGCGTGTGTGTTTGTGTGTGCGTGAACTGTGTGTGTGCACGCGTGTGTGTGTGCGTGCGTGTGTGTGTTTGTGTGTGCGTGAACTGTGTGTGTGCACGCGTGTGTGTGTGCGTGCGTGTGTGTGTTTGTGTGTGCGTGAACTGTGTGTGTGCACGCGTGTGTGTGTGCGTGCGTGTGTGTGTTTGTGTGTGCGTGAACTGTGTGTGTGCACGCGTGTGTGTGTGCGTGCGCGTGTGTGTTTGTGTGTGCGTGAACTGTGTGTGTGCACGTGTGTGGGTGTGCGTGCGCGTGTGTGTTTGTGTGTGCGTGAACTGTGTGTGTGCACGTGTGTGGTGTGCGCGCGCGTGTGTGTGCGTGCGCAGCGTGCATGTGTGTGTGTGTGCGTGTGCACGTAGGGTACGGGTGTGTGTGTGTGCGTGTGGGGTATGTGGGCATGCGTACATGCGTGTGTGTGCGTGCGCGTGTGTGTGTGCGTGTGTGCGTGTGCGTGTGTGTGGGGTATGTGGGCATGCGTACATGTGTGTGCGTGCATGGGTGTGTGTGCGTGCGCGTGTGTGTGTGCGTGCGTGTGCGTGTTTGTGTGCACACTGTGCGTGTGAGTTTGTGCATGCACTCTGTGTTTGTGCGTGTGCTCTGTGTGTGTGTTTGTGTGTGCATGTACTTTGTGGGGGGGTGTGCACTCTCTGTGTGTGTTTGTACTGTGTGTGTGTGTGCGCTCTGTGTGTGTGTGTTTGTGGGTGAGCTGTGTGTGTTTGTGCATGCATGCACTCGTGTGTGTGTTTGTGCACACGTGTGCTCTGTGGCATAGTCCTCTCTGGGTCCCCAGAACCTCTGGAAACCCTCTGGGGTTGGGATCAGTTGGAGGGGCAGGGTAGGTGGGGCCTGGCGCAGAAGCTGCTGTATGGACCAGTCCGGCCTCCCTGGAGGTAGCACGGGTCTTTGCACTGCCGTCCATGGCAGCATGATGGAGCTGCGTCTCCGCGAACAGCCCCCTGAACCCTGCAGCGACCCAGGGCCCCGTCCTGCAACCTAACCATGTGCGGCTTCCCCGGGGCGGGCGAGAGCGTCTGAGCCCCGGCTCGTTTCCCACTAGTCTCTGATAAATACCGCCCGGGCCGTATTGTTCAATGCCTGAGGTCACCATGTCGGGGCAAGAGTCGTCACACTCTGTCCCGGCCTTCATAACTGTCCCAAACGGATCCTACGAGCCCTTTTCCCCACCCCCTGGATCCTGGGCAATGTTCCATGCAGTAGTTTGCATCCGCATGTGGAATAAATTTTGTTACGTGCACTGAGGCATGCACAGATGTGCACCACCAGTAGAAACACATGTTGCTGGCTCTGGGCAGCTGTGGACACTCTGCCAATCAGCTGGGCAGGACCTGAACCTCTCCTGGGCGGCCGCCCAAGCGCTCAACTCCCAGGGAACCTGGTCCTTGGTGTTCAAATGGAAGGTGATCTGGATCCAACTCATCCCTCGTGTGTGCCTGCAAAACCCAAAGCTGGACCGAGGAGGTTCTGCCCAGCCAAAACCCGCTGCTGCTTCTCTGGCACTAATTTACCCTGGGCCTGTCCCCCTCACCGAGATGGCTCTCAAATCACTTTCTTTCCTAGCTGATATAACGTCAATTGAAATGCAGCCACCTCGGGGGTGCAGCGGGGCAGGCAGATAACGGCACACAGTATTAAGGCTCCACCAAGCTATCCAGGAAACAAAGAGAACTCTGTGCCCAATTGTAACCGCCTTAAGGAGCGGACTGTAACTTCCCCGGCTGGAATTTGGCCAGGACACTGGGGCTCATCCCCCTACAAAGTACAAACAGGACATAAAAGGCAGGACGCCCAGTGGGGGAAAAGCTTCAGTTGATGAAGAAAAGCCGGAATCGTTTGGAACAATCCCAGCGTTTCCAGTCTGGGGGCGCGCAGCGGACAATAGCCGTGTCTTGAGAAAGTCCTGTGGCCTGTGATCCTGTAACAGCACTGCGATTAGACGGGACTAGCTTGACTTTCTTTTCATCAACTGGAGCTTTTCCCTACTGTGCCCACAGCGTCACGGTCCTGGGTAGACACAGCCAGTAGCAGGGGAGCTGTCAGGCCCCGGGAACAGCTGGCTAAACACCCTGGAATAGACGGACTGATTTATTCACAAGATTCAGAGGGACGTGTTAGTGCAGAATCGCTTGTCAATAAAGCCACAAGCTCCAATGTGCCAGGCAAACTCCGCCCATGCCCATCCGCCGGTGCCTACTAGCTCTGCCTAGCGAGCGCTAACGATCCCATCTCGTTAGAAGTCAATTCCAGCTCCCTACGGCCTTCGAAGTATAAATCACAAAGGGGTTCATCCCTCCTCCCTCTCCCATTTCCTAGCCCCCGGGAAGTGACGCCTTGCTTTGTTGCAGGTCGGGGATGGAACTGCCGGCTTTGCCTAAACTCCTCTGGATGGGTGACAACAAGCTCTTGCATCAGCACTTCCCGGAAGTGTTTGCCACGGTCCAGACCACCCAAGACATCCCCGAGCAGGCCAGCTTCGGGCCGTGCATGCTGCAGAACACCTTGCTGGACACGCTTGCTTTTATCGCCCTGAAATGCTCCGAGAGAAGAACAATCCATTATGTATTTAAGGTAGGGGAGCCTGGTGTTTACTATTGGGCTAGAAGATTTACCCAGCCTTGCGCGGGTCCTTAACTCAATTCTCTTCATTTAAATCATTGGTCTAGGGATGAAGGGTTCACTATGCAGGCTGACCCAGAGAGAGAGATCAACCCCAGCCCTCTCTCACCGCAGCAGCCTGGGGCCAGGTGAGAAGCGCCTCTCCAGGGCCGCTGCATCTCCCCTGGCTGAGGAACACACAGACAGACAGATAGCTGTCCTTTTCTCCACCCTGCCCCTTGCTATTGCATTGGGTTATAGCTGTCCCAGACTCTCCCTCTGTCCCTTGCTGCCACCTTGTGGTCATTACACAATATAACTGTCCCTGCTCACAGACCCCTCCCTTTCTGATTTATGAGAACCAGTCCCATTCCAGGCACATCTCATTGTCCTGGAACAACCAAACCGGGACCTTGATTTAAGTGACGATAAGAGGAAGTTGCCTACCAAATTTGGTGGTCCTAGGAGTTCTTAAACAAGCAGACACATAGACAGATGGAAGGACAGACAGACAGAAGATCTCAAATATGTAGTAGTAGATAGATAGATATCCACGAAGGAGAGCCGAGCAGTTTCAGGGCGGTGGTTGCAGGCAAGCGAGCCAGCCAGCTGCAAATCAGTCGGGCCTACTAAACTCCCCCTGACCCTTGCCCAGCTACGCACAGTGTCCTGTGTCATCTGCCTTCCCCTGAAAGGTCCTGTCTTTTCCCTCCCAGTGGGACTGCAGCTGAGGACACAAGGGAGGAACGCACTGTCCGAGGGACCCATAAACTGAGGAGTTGGGCTTTGGGCCCAGAAGTACATCCGCAGAGCAACCCCCCCGCCCCCTGCACTTGTCTAGACCTCCTTTGATGCTCCGTGGCTTCAGTCTCTCTTGCCCTTCTCATGTCTTCCTTGCCCCCTTTCCACACCTTCAGCCCTGGTTCCTGGGGGCTGCTCTCCAGAGCTCCCACCTGTCTCTTGGCCATGCTCGGAGGCACGAATCGGTGCTCAGCCCTTCTGAAAGCCAGGCCCTAATTAGTGGCAGCAATTAATTACAGCCACTGGGAGTGTGGGACTTCCACACGTGTCAATCATGATTAAGTACCAGATAGTGTAAAGGGAACCAGTTGCAGGGCATGTTAATTCATCCCCTCCTGTACGCTAATGAGCTCTTCCACTAATTGACTCTTAGCAGGGCTTTCATCTGGCTGAGCGGCTAATGCCATCATCCTTTTGCTTGTGTTCTGAGGGGTGAAAACAGCAGCCATGCCCCAAATGCTGTTTCTCCTACAAACCCCCCTGGCTCAGCAGCCGGGCGCTTCTTGGAGCCACAAAGGGAGAGAAATCGTGTAGCGGTGACATTTAAAATCATTCTTCTCGCCCAATACGTTGTATCTTCACATCTCTCTTTCAAAACAGCCCCTCTCAAATTAGCACTTTGGGCCATGGTGGGGGCGGGGAGCAGCAGGGCAGCGAGAGAAGGGGGCATCTGGAAACGCTGGGCACATTCCCCCTTGGGCAGGATGCACAGGGTTATTGGGAGGGTGCGGCCGGCTGTGTGCCGGTGTCTGTCCTGGTGTGCACGGTTCCATCCTCTCACCAGCCTTTCCCCGGCTGCGGGTTCTGTGCTCCCCGGGCATGGGGTGTATTCAGGAAGGCTGCAGACCCAGCGACCTTTGGGGGTGGCAGACAGAATCCTTCCTCCCA